TCAGCCATTTTGCCATCAACGCGCGGTATGTGAGAAAAGCCATTTCAGTGTTGTGAACGTCGCTTTCTGATTGGCTGATTACGGTTTTTCTGTGTTGTGATTGGTTATATTTTTACAGTGTGAGAAATGCTATACGCGCTTATGATTGGACGTATCGCTATTTTTCACATGTGAAAATATAGCATACAGATTTTTATTATATATATAACAAGACTTTCATAGAGTAAATGGCATAAATAGATATAGTTTATAGCATGGAAAGTGCTCTGTACGGGATTTTATTCACTCGTTGTTTGCATCATACAACGAACGACCGAGGAACGTCGCACTTTCCATGAAATAAACTATATCTATTTATGCCATTTACTCTATGAAAGTCTCGTTATATATATAATAAAATCATTTCGAAACGAATTTGGAGGATCGGCCAGTCATGCTTACTAGTCGACCTTTGTGACTGATCGGTACGACGAATCAAATTATAATTACTTTACAAAATAATTTTAAGTAAACGATTTATGAATACAGTTTTTTTCGTTAAAATCTAATTATTTTTAACTTCGATTCTTGACAACCAGAGGCGAGCGCCTGCAAATAATTAGTCTAGCCGTAATTAACATTGGTACGCGTAGCCGAGTTCTGAACACAAGTAACGCAGGCTCAACTTTACATGAAGGTGAGTGACTGAGTGAGCGACAGTTTCGTCCCCCTCCAATAACTCTTCGATTGCTTCGTAATCTCCGACTTAAAAATGATGTAAATTTGCTGTAAACAAAACCATAAAAATTCGATTTACACGGAAAATTTACAGTCGTTTTTACAAATGAAGTACGCTTTTGAGTTTCGACCAGTTGAGCACAAATGTAGCTGATGAAAGTGCACAAAACTGCTAATATCGTATCAAAAACGTTTGAGTTTGTTTTAAGTGTGAAGTGTAATCTTTTGAGCTTGTTTTCTTCTTGCGTTGTTAAATTTAAAAGCAAAAACAAAAAGACGATTACTAAAATACAAAAACAAAACATATAAACGAAGAGAAAACCTGTGGAACCAGGGTACTCAGGCGTGGTTAAAAAACAAACAAACAAACAAACAAACAAAAACAGCCAGTCGTGTACAATAATCAAATGGAATGATGAATCAATCCGTGGATAAGTTGTTGATTTTGTTGCTTAAGCTATGCGCACTTCAACACTGTTCTTCTGTTATTCAGGTATTTTAATTCAGTAAAAATAAAATTAAAAAAAACTTAGTAAGGAACAGAAAACAAAAGAAACCAGCTCGTTGAATTCAGGCCCCAAATCCAGTCAAACCTTTTCCAGAGAGTATAAATTTATGACTTCTGTTTTTGCGACACTCAAAACGTACATTTCACATAAATGTTTTTCAAAATTGCAATCATTTACGCCGCTAGCTCGGGATTTGCGATTCTTGCTGTTTATCACAATTATACGGCTTTATTGGCCGCTCAATTTTTGCACACGACAATGATTTACAATGTGTTAGATGATCTCAAAGAGAGCTTTGTCTATGACCTATGAATAAAATTTGTGCCTTAGTAAATCAAATGTTTGTAAAAATGCATCAAAATTCAAACTTGTCTAATGCGATAACGCTCTACAAGAAAACAACATAATTGAAATTTACGATCAATCTACTTTGGTTCATAAAATTTTGTTTTTCGCCGAAAATGAGACTTTGAAAATAGTCACCAAGCGTTTATTAAAAAATACTAAAAAATCCTATCATTTTGATTTTAATGCAAAAATAGACATTCATCTTTTTTTTAGTCTTGGTATGAAGTGTACAATGGTAATATTGCTGAGACTCATTCGACTACCATATTTGGTAATTACCATTACCCAATCGAGTTGYCTTAGAGAGAAAAGTTAAGGGTGATTTGCCCAATCATTTTTGTTTTCTTCCATGCTTGTTCCACATTCCAGACTTACTGTGATGATAATGAGCGAGACCCTTTACTTTTTTACGATAACTTTCAAAACCCGCCATCAAAATTCTATCATGCATTTCGATATCTTCTCCTCCCCATTTGTCCTTGAATTCTTCCACATTCATCCCTCCAAATTTATCCCAGTCATGTTTGTAAATGCCCACTAAACCATAACCATTGAATTCCCAAAAAGATCCCATGTTGACTGCAGTATTTGTTCCACACTCGAAACGCTGAAGAATTGGCGAGTAGGACTGAACTCCTTTTAGTGTATACTGTATGGAAAAACAACAAGAATAATAATGAATCAAACTACACAGCAACAATCAAACCGACCAGAAAACATAAATACTGAGATAAGAATAACCTGGAATCATCTTTTGACGTCAATAATGACGTAGGTACCGATTTCGAAGAGGTTGTCGGATAAAATGGTGATTGCAAAACCGAAAGCCTTGAGTTTTGCTATAATTGATATTAACAATAACTGATTTTTACTTCAAGATGGTCTGTGGTAACATTGGCTCCTTTTGGTCTCCATTTATTTTTCACACAAGATCATAGGCCGCCCAACTAATACATTAGAGACAGAAAACAACGAATGCGTACGCTTTTATTATGTATATGTATCGGCGCGCGCTCTTAGCAAAAATGCGGGTTACCTGTGGTGTTACGTCACTATCTCGCGCCTCGCGACTACATACTAATCTTGTCACATTGTCACAGATTACAACCTCGTTCCCAGGGCTACTCTGCTCGCTTTTTTCAAAATCTCTGGGCGCAGAGTAGCCCTGGGAACGAGGTTGTCACAACAGCAGGGACATTTGTTGGCGCTGACCGCACGTATATCGCGGGCAACGCATGAAAGTTGACGTTTTTCATAAAAAGGCGGGAATGAAAGACTCTTGAATATGCCTCACTTTTTGTTCAAGATCAAAAGATACTTGAGAAAATTCTATCAAGAATAGGGAAAGAATGGGGTCTTTTGTTTACAACGTGCTTGTTTTTAAGCGAAAATAATGTCTTATTTGGAAATGAGAAGCGATCTTCCACACAGGACACGAACGGCTGAACATTTTATGAAACCACACCATATCATGAAAAGTCAAATTTCTCAACAGTGAGATCAAAAAAGCCATCCATATCTGGTGTATTTTGTCACAGGGAGTCATGAAACTGGATAAACATGTTAAAATTTATAAAGACTGAAATGATCAAGATCTAATG